TTTTCGCCTGCATCCATGTTAATCCATATTCTTTCAACTCCTCTTCACACGATCTCCTCCATGTCACCCTTGGACGTCCCACACGCCGCTTCCCTTTCGGGTTCCACTCGAGGGCTTGGCGCGCGATGTCACCCAGCGGTCTCCTCAGCGAGTGTCCGATCCATCTCCACTTTCTCCTGCATATTTGTTGGGCGATTGGTTCTTGCTTTGTTTGTTCCCATAATTCCTTGTTGGTGATTCTTTCCGGCCATCTGATCTTCAGTATAGAGCGAAGACAGTTGTTAATAAAGGTCTGCAACCTTTTGGAAATATTCTTTGTGACCCGCCAAGTTTCTGATCCGTATAGAAGAACTGACTTTACGTTTGTATTGAAAATCCGAATTTTGTTGTTGATGCTGAGTGACGAAGATTTCCAGATTGATTTCAGGCTGATGAATGTGTTTCTCGCCTTCCCGATTCTCGATTTGACATCCTCGTCCGCTCCTCCTGTAGTTGAGACAATGCTCCCTAGATAAGTGAATGAAGTAACCTCTTTCAAATCCCTCCCGTTGATGGTGATTGACGTTGGATGTTGCTGTGCTGCTGTTGTTGTTGGTTATTTTCATAACCTCCGTCTTGTCTATGTTTACCTGGAGTCCTGTCTTTGCTGCTTCTTCGACCAGTTTGTCGGTTTTCGCTTGTAAGTCTTCGATTGTGTGTGACATCAAACATAAGTCATCCGCGAAATCCAGGTCTTCTAGGTTCTTCACGTCGGTCCAGGATATTCCTGTCTTCTCGTTTCCCACAGTCTGACGCATAATCCAGTCCACCACAATTAGGAATATCATTGGTGATAGTAAGCACCCTTGTCTGACTCCTGTGTTTACTCCAAACGCCTCGCTGAGTCTTCCGTTGTGGATCACTTGGCAGGTGCCGTTGTCGTACAGCTGTTGAATAAGGTTGATGAATATTTGGGGTACGCCATAGTACTCGAGTAATTTCCAAATTACTTCACGGTCAACGCTGTCGAAGGCCTTCTCAAAGTCTATAAAGTTGAGGTAGAGGTTTGATTGCCATTCCATGCTTTGTTCGATGATGATGCGTAGAGTTGCAATTTGGTCAGTACATGATTTGCCTTTCCTGAATCCAGCTTGTTCTGGTCGGAGTTCTGTCTCCAGTGCGTCCTTTAATCTCTCCAGGATGATGCGACTCAGGATTTTACTTGGCGTCGATAGGAGCATGATTCCTCGCCAGTTCTTGCAGAGTCCTAAGTCGCCCTTCTTTGGTAGTTTCACGAGGTAACCTTTCCTCCAGTCAGTAGGCACCTTTCCCTCCTTCCAGACCTTTTGCAATAATGGAGTCAGCATGTCTGCTGTCGTCTCTGGGTCTGCTTTCAGTGCTTCAGGGGGTATTCCATCTGGTCCGGCTGTTTTTCCAGCTTTCAGAAGTTTGATTGCGTTCAAGACTTCAGCTCTCGTTGGAGGATTGGTGTCAACTTGCAGTTGTGTGCGCGCTGTTGTTGGTATTTCTGGACGGGTTGCAGGTGATGGTCGGTTCAAGAGTCCTTTGAAGTGATCCGCCCATTGTTTAATCTGTTTTTCTTCCTTGGTAATGGGCTTCCCTTGGCTGTCTTTTATAGGTTTCGCTTGTGTTGGTCTCTTCCCGGATAGAGATTTGGTTATCTGATATAGTGTCCTCAGGTCCCTTTTGCCTGCTGCCTTCTCAGCTTCAGTGGCGAGGTTGTCGTAGAATCGTCTTTTGTCCTTCCTAGCACTCTTCTTCACTTCTTTGTCCAGTGCTTTGTAAGTTGAGCTCAGCGTCTCCTTCTCCTGTCCGTCCTTGCATTGAATCATTTTCTCTTTCACCATTCTCCTCTCTTCTATTAATTTCCAAGTGTCCGTTGAGAGCCATTCCTTGTCTTGTCTCTTCTTTCTTCCTAGAACCGTTGAACACGTTTCGTTGAGAATCGCCTTCAGAGACTTCCAATGTTCTTCCACGCATGATTCTTCAGTGCTGTCGCGTAGTGTTTCCTGCTTTGCTCTGACAGTTGCAGTGAAGGTGTCTTTTGTGGTTGTGTCCTTCAGTAATTGAGTGTTGAACTTGCATTGTGGCCTATCCCCAGCTATCCTCGAGGCTTTTAGTTTCACCTTGAAAGTCCCTTCTACTAGATAGTGGTCTGAACCCACATCTGCTCCTCTCCTTGACCTTGTGTCCAGTAGGCTCCGTCTCCACTTTCTTGAAATTGAGATGAAGTCTATTTGATTCTTGGTGTTTCCATCTGGTGAAATCCATGTCGTCTTGTGTATATCCTTGTGTTTGAACACACTACCGCCAATCACCAAATCATTGAAGGCGCAGAAGTCTGAGAAGAGTTCACCATTGTCGTTCATTTCACCGAGGGCCTCACGACCCATGGTGAGTTCTCTTCCTGTGTTGTCTCGTCCCAGCTTCGCATTCATGTCGCCCATCAGGATTTTGATATCGCCATTTGGGACGTTGTCCATTATTGCTTGTAGTTGTCTGTAGAACGCCTCCTTCTTCTCTTGTTCTGAGACGTTTGTAACATTGAATGACTGTAACTTTCCTTCCTTTTGAGTTGAACCTGGCTGTCATTATCCTGGAGGAGATTGGTTCCCACTGCATGAGAGCTTTGGTTGCTGTTGGTGACATCATGATGGCCACTCCCTCGGTGTGCTCATGGTTGTCCTCTAGGTGGCCGGAATAGATTACTGTCTCTCCAGTAGGTAGTTGGCACCTTCCAGTTCCGTTCCATCTGCTCTCGCAGATTCCCAACACTTCTATTCTGTACCTTCTCATTTCAGCGGCTATCTGGGCAGCCTTTCCAGTTTCGTACATTGTGCGAACATTCCAGGTACCCATCCTTACTTTTGCTTTCATCGAAAGAAGGCACATCGGCTGACTGGCTTCCCGAAGGCTTTCACCAGCCTGCGTCATTTCACTTCCCCGATTCCAGCGAAAAGTAAGGCTATTGCTTATTTTTTTAGAATTTTTAATATATTTATTCGTTGAAGTTTCTGTAGCGATTTGGTTGTTTTACAGGGGTGGAGTTGCTAGCACCACGCCCCAACCCTCCCTCTTTACCCGGGCTTGGGACCGGCGAGAAAACTAGTAAGCTAGTAATCTGGCGAGGTAAGTAGTAAGGAAAACACAAAATCAACTCATCTGAAATATTGGCATTACAATTTTGGTCTAAGTTACTGTCAATTTACACGCTTTCAAAATAGAAAAGGAGTAGAGAGAGATGGGAAACAGAAAAATCTAATAAACGGTGTTAGCACTTAAGTTTACATAACCCACTGAAAACTTGCTCAGTGATTTGAAATGGATGGATGACCAACCAAAATGACTAATCAAAATGTAGTTACCAGTTACCAAGGGAGTGAGAGATTAATCACACTCCCTTTCTGCATGCATTAGTTTGGTTTCAAACCAAACTTGAGTTTGATTGCAATCGCTTCAGCAAATCGTAGTAAATTTGCTCTCTCTTGTATGTTTAATATTTTGAAGGATTTGGAAATTTCGACGAAATGATCAGTGTCCACAAGGTGTCTGGTAATTTCATTTTATGAATATCTGTTTCTTTTTAGACATAAGTTTCTTGGGATATGCTCTGGAAACTGTATAGAAGCCCTTCTTTCTATCATCCCATTGTACTTACTCCCGCAAGTGCACGTAAATTTATAAACAGTTAGAGGCGACATCAATAGAGTACTTATCCAGTTTGGATAGACTTATAGAGCATGTAGTGCTCTATTGCGATCTTAGCTGCAGGGAAGCACCTTTTTATTGTTCCTTTCATTCTCTTGAAGGGAACCAAATACATGAAATTAGTGTAGAATTCATTATTACGTGAAAAAATATGACCTCACAAAGTTTAGTCCTGTTCAGCTCTAAGCATTTTTTTCTCAAAGAAGTTTATTCCTGTTATCCAAGCCTCATATATCTATACATCAAATAGTAGATAATCCAACAGTCATAATTAAGGGTCATGCATTACTACGGGAAAACCAATACGTTTAACCGTCTGTCAACTTAGAAGTTGTCAATTGACACTTGCCAAAACAGATTCAGTCGTAAGCCAATATAACTGTGTGACTTATTTATTCTTTTAAAATTTCAGATTGAAAACCATAAGACCTCGGTGCTGATTCACTGTTCAGATGGCTGGGATCGAACAGCTCAGGTTACATCTTTGGCGATGTTGATGCTCGATCCATACTACCGCACAATACGTGGGTTTGAAGTTTTAATTGAGAAAGAGTGGTGTTCATTTGGCCATAAATTTGCACAGCGTACTGGTGGACCTGCGGATGGTGGAATCTATTTGCCTCCTAATATACCTACTCCCGTTACTAATGATTCTACTCCCACACGACCATCCAATCCTGAAGAGCGCTCTCCAGTGTTCCTACAATTTATTGACTGTGTATGGCAAACAATGCAGCAGTTTCCTCATTCATTTGAGTTTAATGAACGATTCCTCATAACCATAATGGATGAGCTGTATGCTGCAAGATTTGGGACGTTTCTCTTTAACTCTGAAATGCAAGGTCGGGATCATGGTGTACGTGAAAGAACCATATCTTTGTGGGCATATATCAACTCTGACATACCGTCATATCAAAATCCATTATACACTCCCGCTGAAATCAGTGGACATCGTGTAATTTTCCCGCAACACGCTTTAGCTCAACTTCAATTTTGGACAAGTTATTACATAAGATGGCATCCACTAATGCGTTTACAAGAGCCTATAGCGCGTCGAGAAAGAGACTTGATAATGATAATGAAACGTTTCAGAGAACTTACAGCTGCCACACAGCGCGAAAGCATTAAACCCAATCTAAATTCTGCCAAATCTGATAACCTTACGCTCGGCAGAACACGTTCAACGAGTTCAAAATTGTAGTACTGCATACATTGAAGTTATGTACGGATTCATGAACAAATACACCGAATGCTAAGCCGGACAAGAAAATAAATTAAACAAAAACTGCTTTCAATTTGTATAATTTCAGTAATTTCAAAATGATTTTTTATTCGAATAATAAAAATTTAACTAAATCACTTGTTAGTGTTGTTAGGCACTTGATCATCCCAAAAGAATGTGTTACACCGTGCCGCCGGATTGTCTGGAGCACCCTGAGGTCGTGCACACACCCAAAACCTCTTTCCAAATCGATTCCCTTTGCTAGTTTGCATTTGTTTCACAGTCCTCACAATACAAGGTTCTTTGTGAACAAGGCATAAAGGAGGTTTCTTAGGTCCTGACAACAAGTTCCACCAAGCTTCAGTTGATTGAACTGCTTTAATTGGATCGTAGTCCTTTATCCTGGGAGTTATCATTTCCTTTGCACTTGATGGTTGTACCTCGCTACCTGAGGATTCACTCAACTTCACTGCTTTGAAAGGTCCTAAAGTCAAGTTAAAGTTAACAGAGATAACATCTGGAATTTTTTCGAAACCATAAATTTCTCATTATTGTTGTAATAGAAATATGAATAATATATTTTATGAAAGAGTATATCTAAGTTAAGGTTTCTCATTGAAAGGTTACTATTCTATTAGTCAAGCAACTGTGTGATATAACACTTACGTCTCCTTACCGACAGAAGTGAATTTTGCTTGCTTTAGAGTAGATGTTTTACGTTTAGCTCGTGATCTTTCCAAACAAGAAACAGAAGTATTCAATATAGGAGGAATGTTTTCATTCTTCGTGTTGGAGATCTTAGAAACTAAAAATTTTTTATCTGTGTTTGTTTCGTTTGACACTGTGGCCAGTGGTGGGAACATTTAGGAGGAAATGAATAAGATAACTTTGCGTTTGAGTTATACGAATACGGTAAATCTGCATATATTGGACAGTGGTCAGAACCGCAAATATCTGGCATTAAATCTGCTTTTATTTCATCATTCGGCAATGCATATAAATTTGCAAGTTGAGAGTCTACAAGAATATAATCTAGTCGAACTCCATAATTGGTTTGACGAGCATTTGTACGCGATGACCAGCAGGTGAACGCATTTTTCTGGTTCGGATGTAATAACCTAAAGTATTAAGATACAAACTGGACAAATCAAGAAAATATGCCAACGATTTGATCAAACTCAAAAGAAATTATGTGATTATTTAAAAATGAAACTTAAGCATTTACTGGAAATTTAAAAACCTGTTCAAGTTTTCCTCTCAGCAGATCGATTTCCCTATAAAATGTATGAGGGATTTAAATCACGTTTTGGTTTTGTGAACTACCAACAAAATTAATTAAGTTTGCATATCTTGTTCTCTTAAATTATGAGCATATGCGAAAAACGAAGCCCTTTCAATTATCACGGAACACTAATTTCTTGACAAAACAGTCGATAGAAAAGTTGCCAATGCCCTTAGTAATATCTGTACACTAGATAAACATAAATGATAGACTGGTTAAGTTGTAGTATGATATTCCTGGTGTGGTGGTCTGTATCATGCAAAAAACTGTGGGAAGCAAGGAAACGGGCATACGTTGGACCGATGAGTACACACTGAAAGACTAGGACTTTTCGGACGACTTATGTCTAATGTCACACAAACTCGGAGATTGATATTCGCGAAGCAAGTTGTCGGAATAGGCACCGAAGATACCAAACCAGCAACACTAAACCGGAGAAATCCAAAGGATAGCAAAAGCAAGACAGGGGTTCATTACTCTGAAATCGATGAGGAAATATAATGCACTCATCATAAAGAGCAAGGATCTTCAGTACCGATTTCAAGTCAGTGCTTCAACATAGTTCAGAGACTTGGCACGTCTTGAAAATGATTTCTAAAAGCCTAGTGCAGACTTTAACTAACAACTGTCTTCGCCATACATTGGAAATCAGATGGCCAGAAAGGATTAACAAGAAGGAACTCTAGCAACGAACCTATCGCCCAACAAATATGCATAAGGGAATGCAAATGAATTAGACGTACACTGAGAAGACTATTGAGTGAGGTCACGCCCTAGACTGTCGACTGGAGTCTGAAATGGAAACGACAAACTGGACGTTTAAGAACTACTACTTGGAACATCTAACAAAGGTTTTCCTGTAGCTCAACACCAGTAGGTAATCTTGCGGAGCTAAAAGTGAAGAACAATTTTTATTATTACATCTTGAAAGGGTGTGGTTTTGATTCATGACTTCTAGTGAGCTATAATTTGCACTTTCTCGACCTAGTTCTTTCAATTATGCTGAACAGGCCTAGAATTGTACTTTGTAAGTTGGAGACAGATTATGCATAAAACAGTCACAAATTTTTATGGTCTGCAACATTCAAGATTATGACACTTGTTAACTCGATTGATATCGTGAAGTCACCAGCAATAAAAAAAATACACCTAAAAAAGTTGCTACGTTTACGGTTGTATTTCACACAACGTATCATTATTTGGAGATTTCGTTTCTAATAATAGTGACAAGAGTTGATAAAATTAATTGCTTCTCATTTTCCTAGTGTTAATATCCTACCCACTTGTGTTGTATCACTCTACAGGTATAGAAATCAAAAAGTGTACATCTAGTTATACGGGTTCTCGTCTCTAATATTCTGAGATAGTATGTACAAGGCATCCACTGATGATTTAGTCATTTACGAAACTGTATACTTTTGGTGAAAAAGACATATGTGCACAAAATCTAATGCAGTTGCCACAGTTATACCTTTTTAGTATCTGCATTTATTTTGTTAGCTTAAGATAATAGGTCATTTCATCAACATAAAATTACAGAAAAAAGGCACAAATACACAGATTGAATGGGCAATAAGAATCAATAAATTTAAAGTAATAAGTGAAATACGTGCTTCATGTGCAGTATTACATGAAGAGACCTAAAGCTTATTAATGACGCAACACCTTGGGCAGATACTCATTTCATTTGATCCTAATTTTTAAACATCTTTAGGCCAACAAAATGAAACACTTGGAATTTACTAAATTCTTTAATTAACGGTTATTCAAACTTTATTTGTATCAATTTTAAAAAAATATTTTAAGTTACCTACCTGAAAATATCTACAAATCTCCTAGACTGTGAGTATTCTTCGGTGTTAAGACTTTGATCTCGTTGTTGTTCCACTAACAGTTGATCAAACCATTGACGAAATGGATTTGAAATCTTCTCTGCCTGATCAGAATAGAGAGAACAGCAAATGGATAAATACCAAACGTTGTCATTGAATATATAGAGTGAAACTGATAACAAGTGAATACCTTCATTACTATTAGACAATAAGTAAACCTAGGCACAGGTAGAATATTGGGTTAGCTTGAACACAAGAGAATGACAGTCCGTTTTTTTATAAATAAATACACGTGGGCAAACGATGAATTGATGAAACATTAAATGAAAGATAGTGTTTATTTATTACAGCGGAAAAATCTTTAAACGTTTAGGACATGATCCCTCAAAACGTCGGTACAAAATCAGTCATATAATGCATCTTTTAATATTGCGACACAAGTGTGATTTAAACACTCAGAAACCAAAAAAATATTACGGGCAACAGATATAGGGAAAAAATTTGCAATAAATAAGGTTGAAATTAAGCGTGAGTGCATTCTCGCCACCACCATTCACCTTAAGCCATACCATTTACATATTGTCTTTTTTGTTGTCTGCTGGAAGGCAAAAATGTGTTAATCCAACGATTTTATTCTTTAATTTGGCCACATTTAAACCTATTTCAATTCATTCTTGCATCGGCCTAACAATGAACACTAGTGTTGAGTTGTTAAGCATACATAAAATGTCATTCACTGTACCTTTTTAATTACATGGAGTTAATATTTTACTTATCAGACTATGAACCACTTAGTTTCAGAGATGATGACAAAACACAGGCCGTTGTGGATGAAACAGAATTCAAACTCAAAGCTCCTTATCTGAAAGTCAAGTGCGAGAACCAATGAGTCATTCAATACAATACAAATAACCTACATTCAACTAAATTTCTGCATTGTTCATGAGATGACTCCTTTGCACGCTGTCGATTATACGAAGTCTAATGTAATCGGGAACCTAAATACTTATAAAATCTCTTCTTTAATAGCTATTCAAGAAGACAGCATTCATTGTTGCACAATATACCTAACTCCTACCGGAAAACAGAGTTTCACCGATGTCATAATCAGCGCAAATCAGTTAAAGTCAAACAACCTAAACATACTACGACTTCTTAAGATATCCAGAAGACCGCGTTTCTTTACAGTCTTCACATAGGATCATATCATTGGCATACTCTAAATCTATAAGAATTTTGCCTGAAAACAGTTCACTCCAAAAATCACCGAATTCAATCAGTCACCTTCATTAATACGTCCGCCATGGAAATTAAGTGAAAAATGGTGATATTGGTCATCCCTGGAGGATGTTTCAAGATGTGGGCAATTGGATGTTAACTATTTTTAATTACGTCTTTATTCTAATTTATCTCCTTGACCATTCAACTTCCTAGTGGTCTCTAGAAAAGTATTTCGTTCCACGTTCTATAAAGGCGAATTAGGACAATAGTATAACAGCCTATGCCTTTCAAATATGTTAACCCTTACATTTTGTCTGTTTTTCTTTATTGTCCTCTCCTATTCGTTCATTGTCTGCTTAAAATGAAGACTTCGTTAAATTACGAAGAACTCTGAAATCTGACATTAGGGTGAATGCTAATCCCCTTAAGCCAATTTATTGATATTCTCGTTGACAGACATTTGAGCTCATGCAAGAAATTAGGCAAAGTTATTTTGCCGAACTTTGAGTACCCTCTTTATTCATAGCTTTCGCCTTGCCTGTCATCAGATAGGATGGAAAGTAATTTCAGAAGACCTTACGATCATACCACTGAGTAGAAAAACTCAAGCATACCTTATTCGGCACTCACTTTGTGTAGAACTAAGCATTAGGTAAGAAGTCTCCTACTTACTTTGAAGCAGTAGATAAACGGTTATTTTTCATTCTTGCTATCATTAATGTGTTTTTCCATTTTCTCTATTATTTTTTTAGAATTTATCAATTAATTATCATCCTGAACATCAAAACGTTTCTGCAACCATTTTCTCCCTAATTATGTAGTGAATGAAAAAAATTACAGTAGTGTTATATGCTGAGAATTTTAAATTGTATCACAAATATTGCTTGAAATAAAGACATCATTCAAGTTTGATCACGGATTATTATCAGTTAGAGAACCACTGAAAGCCAAGGAGTACTGGACATGTTTCATCCTGGTGTGACGTCTTTCAGAGGGATGCATCCATGACCCAAACATGGATCGAAATCAAAGCCCTCAGGTTATGAGGCAAGCCTGTTAACCAGTTAGCTACCGCTAAGAAATTCAATGATCGATTCATCAATCCTAATTTCTGCTGATTCGAGATTACTAGCGGCACCACCAGGCAGTATCACTGACGAATATTTGTCCTCGCACCCGACTTGGTGGACCTGAAACTAGGAAGGAACACTTTTTCAGTACTCCATGACTTTCGTTAGTTCTTTAACTGATACCAATCCGTAATCAAACCCGAAACTAATCAAATCCCTACAAACTAACACTTGAAAGTCATTATTTGTCAATTTATTACGGCTACTTCTATCATATAAACATAATAATGTTGACTTATTTTATCATATTTCTTTTTGACTTCACCACACAAAAACGTAATTTAGTTTAGCTCTGCTCCGTTTCATATACTTACTTCAAATTCATCGGGTGCACAATGATCGATCACTTTGTGACAAATATTAAAGTCACCAGCCATAACCACGAAACTGTAAAAATGTTTATAGAAATGCATCTATCGCTTACTTTTCTAACAAAAACAATTCAGTACATAATTTTACAGCATGCTGGAAATTATGTTTGAAGTTCAAACGGTTAACATCTTCCGAATTGAGTCTGGGAAAATATATAGACATTACAACTAGTGGCAAACATCTCTTGGAATCACTCCCTACAACATCAAAAATATCAGCTGGAAACTGGAGAGCCAATATTCGACCCTCAGCATCCAAGTTACGAGCTTCGGTATGAGAGATATTCAGTTCTCTCATAAGAAAATCCCATCCGTTTGTTAACTCACAACCATCGGAGCCTGGAGAAGTTATTTCAATAATCATTTCATTTAAGCTATGATAGGTTTTGACCGGTTTGATAGGATTACGACAAAATATTGCAACACCTGCCATGCCAACGTATGAAAATAGAACATACCTGAGTATCCTGGTTTGTGTAAACTATGGCTGAAGTAAGCATTGTAATTATCTGAGAGTACGAATTCACTGCTTATATCCGCTTAATTGTTGAAAACAGCAAATAAAATGAGCTTACGTGTAGATTTGGTCTCTTGAAGACAAATTATATCAGATGAAAGTGAGTCCAAGACACATTTCAAAGGTTGCTGAATGGAACGCAAGCCATTGATATTCCATGAACAAATACGGATAGGACTCATATCAATTTATTGAAAAACAACTACAAAGAAAGGGTATGCACACAATATTCGTAGGCATCAATAGCGAACGATGTTAATTTAAGATTAGAAACTGTCGTATGAGATAGATCATTCAAAAATCATTCATTCATAGGACCAACTAATTCGAGACATTGACGTGTGCCAAATACCTGTTGAAGCCAGGACTAAACCATACGGTTAGCACAAAATCGCCAGTCAGTCAATTAGCTATCACGTACTTCAACTACTTGTAACAAGATCGTAATTGCAAGATAATGTCAGGTCTGATGAGTTTTTTGACAAAGGCTCCTTTAGAGACGCTCAATATACAATATCCCATAATTCACTGCAGATATCAGACTTGTAAATAAATAATGAAAACATAATTAATGGTTCCCCATAGTGCAGTAAACTCTTTATTGTTTCAAGATAGACTAGACCCAACTACAGTCCATGATAAATGCATACGACAGCAACTGTGAAGCAAAATTAGACTCTCGAAGCAAAGTAATCCAAAGCTTTTATTTAAACTGAAAGAAATAATGCAACTAATACAATACGTGAAACTGAATTCATCAACTACAAATGATTACGGCTGGATACGAATCGAATTTAACCAACTTGTGGACTTTATATCAATAAATCTAAGTAAAACTAGTAGTAAGATTACCTCACGAAAATAGAAGATTGGGCTTTAAGTATAAATGTTTGTTTAAATAAAGCTGAAACATCACAGGCGATTATGGTATTAATAAAGTTAACAGTTCAAAGCATATCTTAGAAATACAAAGTAGCACAAAATTAGATAAATGTTAGCCAAGAAGAGGTGTATGTACATACATACATACACAGAATCCATGAATATCATGTTTCGAAAATGTTTTCACTTCAAAGTAACCAAAAGAAGTAATAGAGTAAATTGGGCATTTCCCGCAATTTAACGTTAACTTTCTCAGCACCACAGTAAGTAAATCGGAATTATAAAAGAAAAGGTATTCGATAGAGTTAATTTTTTATTTGTTTAATTCCACATAGTAACGAAGGTGATAATAATTTTTAACTTGATATGAAAGTTTGAAGGTAGGAATTTTCAGTTCGTGGAAAATACTCATATGGACATTAGAAAGAAGAGAACACGAAGTTCTGCTGAACTTCGTGAACAAGTGAATTGAGTGACACAATACAAGTGACAGGATTGAACAGAGCTAAAATTGAAAGAGGGTTAAGTTCCCACCAGTGTCATAGAAAGTAGAAATGCAATAGTGCGAAAGCAGAGAAAATAACAAAATTTTAAAAATTAGGATTAACAGAAGGATTACGTATCAAATGCTGAGAAAAATGAGGCCCATTGTAGGTTCAGCAAATGAACAAACTTCTGCATACAGCTTAGAATTTAATGTGCAGATCACCATACCTCCTGCATCTTTAAGAAATTCGACTCATACTTCAATGGTGAAATTTATGCGTACTCCGTAGATGCCTTTAAAGTTGGTTTGTGAGTTCATTCGGTGTCCAGAATGGAGACACGGTGGATTTTCCTCCCCTCTGTAAAGCCATGACGGTAGATGTTCGATGATAAGTTTGGATACCTAATACCAGACACGGTCGACAAACATTGTTCCACAGGATCAGGTGAAATGATATAAACACACTGAAAAGGCTAGTAGTGGTCGGTTATCCTTAATTTTAATTTTTTGATTATAGCTTGATTCTACACCGTATTATTGGTACAAGTATGAAATTTTCAGCATGCGATATTGGTAGTCCATATTTTGCAGGCCGACCACTGATATCAGATATGTGTCGGCAGGGGATCGAACCCCGGACCATGTGCATGATCGGTGAGAGTCCTAACCGTTGTGCAACCGACACAGGTGTTGTGGGTAGAGTAAGTCGAAATCCAACTTCGAATATCTCAGTGAACAGGACAAACGGTCTCTTAGTATTTCTGCCCATGAGTCCCTTTTGAATTGCAGATCCAGATGAAGAATTTCTTTGGGGACAAAAAGTGCATGTCTCCTAATCATATCACCTTGATATGATTATGAGCAATAGTTTGTGCTCGAAACGTCATCGGTTAATATTACTGTACAACACTGTGTGATTTATCAAAATAAAATCTTATCCATAATGGAGCTATGCTCTACCACAGTGCCCAAGTTTTGTACATGTGCATGTGGTTTTGGTGGCGCAGGCTCCACGGATTTTTTGATGAGGCTATCAGGGTAGCCATTTCCAATGGGAACCTAATTTATAGCGCTTAGCTCCTCTTTCATGGTGTCAGGACTGCAAATGGTGAGGATTTCGGAACTTATTGAGCGGATCAGGTTCCGTTCTGTAAGTAAAAGCATATTTCTTGTCCGTTTTCTGTAGATGAGTCTTTTTAATGTTCCGTTGTCTTACATTGTGATTGTATACATAAACGAAGGAGCGCTTGGAATCATATCCCTTCTCCATCATGAACTGGATTGTAGGGTGACAACTGTTGAGGAACTCAAGAATATTTTCCGAAAATTCTTCATTAGTGAAGATAATAAACGTATCATCCACATATCTCTAGTAAAAACTAAAGATGTCAAATATTTCGTTCAAATATGTGTTTTCAACTTTCCTCTTGAAAAAACGCTGTCTTTACTAGTTTTTGTTATGAACCCCAGTGTATTTAAGGCTAATATATTATCCGAAGGATAAGTAGATTCTGTATCTGCATGAGTCGTTGTCTACTGACATCGACAGCGATTTCCATTTCAACTGTCCTTAGTGTTAGATAATTTTCCTGTGATATACCTGTTCTAGATAAATCTGTTTACGCCCTGTTTATCGACTTCAAATGCAAAGCATAAAACGCTTACTTCTACACATGCCTTGGGATATGGAACTGAGGAAAAACACTCTAATGACCATGACTGTTTGACATCTTTTGACAAGTGTTTCAGTCAGTATGCGCTCTAGTGTATCTTCAATTTCCTCAAAATCAACTAGGAAGATGACGAATTCCAGTTTTGCACGCTCTACAGTAGAACTTACTATGGGGTAAGACGTACACAGCTACACAAAGACATTGAGTTATCTGCACCTGAAGCACAACTAATTCTTACTTGAATTCAGATGAAAACGATTCAAACTACTACTTACTAGTTAACATCGACTTCGGGTGCATCTGAACATTACTTCAGAGATTTCCGGACGTAGGTTGGGTGCACCACAGAATACCGTGTCAAACGTTACACACACAACGAAAGCTCTGGGACAGACATTTGGCATACTGCAGAAACTGCCCAAACTTCGAAAATTTGCATTTTATACCTTAAAGTGGGCTCATCATCTCTGTACTACTTCCAATACTTTTGATAGCCAGTTCAATATATTCGACTGCCCATGGGCAGTTTTTGCCAAATCTTTTTATTTTAATAACTATACATGTAAGCAACACACACTAGGACGACACGAAAATCAACTAAACATGATTTAATTTTGAATTTACCCTCTATTTTTATCCATTATGTAGCCTATACACAGAAGTTGAGGCCAACTGCGACGCAATCTGTAAAATGACTACTGGCAGCTTGTCGACGGCCGTAATTTTGGGTGCCCGCGAGTGAGATAAACGAGTGATTTACTCGCTTGTGATTGGTCTGTTTGATATCACCTGACAACTAGCAGTAGCTGTATTTCCAAACATTATTTGGTGTTTTGTTCTATTTCTACCTTGTAAGATGATTTCAGTTGTTCTTTGGAATCACTGATAATGCATATAGTCATGGTAGAAGGAACTGAAGGAACTCGCGCGCTGTTTGAAAGGGAGTGCTTTTTTCACGTATTTCACGTTTTTGACAAATCGCTGTTTTGTTGTGTTATTCACTTCAAGAACATTTAAAAAAAACTTTAACTTGACTTTTGTCTGTTAAGTTTTGATTTTAACCACTTATATATTCTATATTGGGTAAATTGTCTTGGCTGTTTCCAGTAGAATTTCATGATGTCAAAAGTACCACATAAATGTAATAGGGCGGAGTGTTACTTTTTGGTAGATGATGGAATACAGTGTAATAACTGTGAAAAATGGTATCATAAGATGTGTACTGGATTACGTCCAGCTGCATACAAACGCTGTACTGCTCCAACATCCCACTGGATGTGCAGAATGTGTTGCTCCCCAAAGATGACCTTAATAAGGGAGGCTCACGAACTGCTGTCTAAAGCCATGGAACTTCCTGATGATAGCGTGGCTAGTAAGAGTGACACGGACTGCCCGTCTGAAGATGAAGCAGTAAGTGCCATCATGAATGTTATCACACCGGCGGTTACTATCCCAGTTACCCCGGAAGTAAAACCTACTAGGCGTTCGAAGCGTCTTAGTAAGCGAAAAGGTAAAAAAACGGAAGCTGTAAACAGCACTTCAGAACCAGAGAACACCGTAAGCGAAGTTCACCATGAAGGTGGCGCAGACACTGATCTTGATTGTACCATCAAAAACTGCAGCAGCCCTGAGAAGCAACTGCAGGCAGATGATAAATGGGTAACAAAAATAAGCAGTCGAAAGAAATATAGTAATATTGATGGTAGGCAAACGTCTGTCACCTGTAGCCAGGCTGCATCAATAGTGGTGAGAAAGGACGTAGCCACTGCTAAATACGACAAGCTCTCCTTAGACTCTAACATAATTGTTGGAAATTTGGAAGAGTCCAAAGAATCTGATCCCGTGAAAAGGCACGATCACGACCTTAAATTAGTGAGTAGTATTATAAGGAAGATGCTCCCAGCGAATTTCCCTGGAGTATCGATTAAAAAGCTGATTAGAATAGGCAAAAGAGATGATGAATGTTCTAATCAGCGTAGGTTGCTTAAAGTAGTCTTAGGTTCTCCTGATGAACGGAATCATCTACTGGCTAATGTACACAACCTTGCCGGGTCAGGAATTTCAGCCAGACCTGATTTATCTCTTGAAGACAGACTTAAACGAAAAGAAGTTTTGTCCCAGCTAGAAACAAGACGCAAAAATGGTGAGACTAACCTTAAACTGGTGGGTTTTCAAATAGTCAGGTCTTGGAAACGTATGCTTCCAAGACCTGTGTGGATAGGCCAGACCGCATAGGAAGCCTGAAGGTAGTGTACACTAATATACGTAGTATCGGGAACAAATTTCACGAGCTAGGTGTATTAGTAGAAGACCTTAGCCCAGGTATTGTGGCCATTACTGAAACATGGCTGGTTTCGGGATTAGATGACACACCTGAGCTATGCGGATTTAGTTGCTTGCGCAGCGACAGAGTTAAGGGTCGTAGAGGTGGCGGGGTTGCTCTGTACATCAACAACTCCCTACATGTTCGTTCCGTGAAATCTGAAGCTCATGACAGTGGGACAGGTGAGGTAATTAGCTGTGAAGTAAGCTTTGCAACCGGCACTCTACTCATTGGAGTTCTGTATAGAAGTCCCTATTGTCAGTGTGATGACTTCATTTTAGATCACCTCAAACAATGGAGTAAACACAGTAGCTGTCTTATTCTAGGTGATTTTAATGCACCTCATATAGACTGGGTAGCTGTCACATCTCCAGGATCCGCTGATAAGTTTGACAGCCGGTTACTCTTGACAACCATGGAAAATGCCCTGACACAACATGTCTTAGGTAGTACAAGATTCGGTTCTACCCAAGGATCTTCCTTGCTGGACTTAGTGCTTACTCATGACAACGACGACGTGGATGGTCTAGTTATTCATCCACCTCTAGCAAACAGTGATCATGGGGTGTTAGATTTTAACTTAAGGGCTGGCAATTTAGTCAGTTTTCAACCCAAATCCCGGCCTAGTGTTTGGCATGCTGACATAGTGGCTATAAAGGAGCGTGCTTCAACTGCCGACTGGTCAGTCAACATTGTCTCATCCATTGAAGATGAATGGGATAGATTTAAGAATACACTTGAGAGGGTTACCACTGATCTCATCCCCTGGAGGGTTCCTAAAAGGCCAACAAATCGGCCACCATGGATAAATAGACAAGCTATAACACTCCTGAGACGGAGAAAAAGGTTCTGGAATCTCTTTGTTTCTACTGGGCTACAGCAGTTCCGGCTGAAATACTGTGAAACCAGAAACCAGTGTAAAACTTTGATCCACCAGTCAAGGATAGCTTACGAAACCCAGTTAGTTAAAAGTTCACCAGGCTGCCCAAAAAGACTCTTCTCATATATCAAGAGAAGAACACGTAAGAGTGATGCTATCCCACCTCTTATGCTTGAAGATGACCAGACAAACATGGCTGAGGATAACTTGACCAAGGCTGAGGCTTTGTCCAAGCACTTTAGTCAAGTATTCTCTGATAAAATTGATACCAGCTTTGTAAATTTTCCAGAAGGTAACTTGAAAATGGCACCCTTATACATTGGAAAGGATACTGTCCTAAAGTGGCTTCTAAGGCTCAATCCTGGTAAGTCCAGTGGCCCTGATGAACTCCACCCACGTATATTAACAGCATTGGCTGAAAGCATAGCCGAGCCATTGTCGGTAATCTTCAATATGTCTCTGGACCAGTCTAAATGTCCAAGAGACTGGAAAGATGCCATCATTAGTCCGGTCTTCAAAACCGGATCTAGAAACTTAGTTCAGAACTATCGTCCTGTTAGTTTGACCAGTATTGTTGTTAAACTACTAGAAAGAATAATTCGTGATGCTATCATTCAGTTCATTGAAGGGAACAAACTTTTCGCTGTGGAACAGCACGGTTTTAGAGCAGGTCATTCTTGCTTGACCAACCTTCTTTTGGCCAGAGAAAGTTGGGCAAGCTCAGCTGATGCTAATATACCGGTGGATGCCATATTCATAGACCTTAGCAAGGCGTTTGACAGGGTTTCTCATTCAGGTCTTCTAGTAAAGTTAGGTAGTCTGGGAATCAATAAAGTGGTTACCGACTGGATTCAAGACTTTCTAAAGGACAGAAGACAAAGAGTACGAGTTAACGGGGTTTTATCAACATGGGAATCGGTTAAGAGTGGCGTTCCTCAGGGTACAATTCTAGGCCCACTTCTTTTCCTGATTTATGTTAATGAGATTCCATCGGTAGTTAAGTCATCCTGCTTACTGTTTGCTGATGACATCAAGATATGGAGGGCTTTGCACGATGACAGTGATCAACTTGCTTTGCAGGAAGATTTAAACTTGTTAAGTGATTGGTGTAAGCGCTGGGCCTTGGAGATTAACTTAAGCAAGAGTGTAGTTATGCATGTATCCCATAGTCACGTGCACAATTACTCAATGAATGGCATTACTCTCCCAGTGGTCACTGAGTACAAGGACTTGGGAGTGGTTGTGCAGCATGACTTGAAAACAGCAACAAACTGTAGAACTGCAGCCACTAAGGGTTTTCGAATGTTATGGGCCATACGCAAGGCTTTTGCGAACTTTGACGCTGATATATTTCGTATATTATATCCGACTTATATCAGACCTCATTTGGAATATGGGATCCAGGCAGCGAGCCCGTGTTTCAAATACGAAATAGACTTATTAGAAAGGGTGCAAAGAGTAGGAACTAAGCTAATAAAGGGTTTCTCAACCCTGTCATATGAGGAGAGGTTAAGTCGACTGGGTTTATTTCCACTGTCATACAGACGACTTAGGGGTGACCTAATACTAGCATACCGTATCCTAAGAAATGATTTTGGAGCTAATTTATCTAAATTATTTCTTCCTTCTAGCACCAACCAATTGCGAGGACATCACCTCAAGGTTCAAAAACCACGGTCGAATCGTCTGCGTCTGGAAATCCGTTTTTCGCATCGAATTGTGAACCATTGGAACTCCCTACCGGAACATGTCGTATCAGCGCCATCCGTTGATTCATTCAAGGCGAGATTGGACCTCCTGTATGAAATAAATCGAAAGGATTAACACAGGCATATAGCCTACTATCCTAAATAAATTGTAAACTGTAAACTGTAAACTGTAAACTGTAGTATCAATTGATTTTTCCACAATATTTTTGTGTGCTCAGGTCAACTGTTCGTCATTTATTTGGAAATAATGAATTACGCAGATACACTAATTTTTCTTTCCCATATTATATGATGATCTCTTTTATCTCCCACCGCCCTCAATGTGTCGGTGGCACAGTGGTTAGGACTGTCGCCGACCATGCACATGGTCCGAGGTTCGATCCCCTGCCGACGCACACCTGATATCTATGGTCGGCCTGCGAAATTTGGGCTACTGATATCCATGCTGAATATTCCATAC